CAAGAAGAAGCTGCTCTTGAAACGATCTTGTAGAGGTATTGGGCGTGGTTGAATATTGTTTTTAAAATGCCATTTATGGGGATTTTTTGGAAGTTTTGCGAAAAGCAGTTTAGGTTTACCGTCAGGTATATGAGTATAGTTTAAGACTCCTTGTGTTCCAGAGTAAACACCACTACCAAGTGTACCAACAGATGGTTGATGCATGTTTGCAGCTAATAAATTAACTCTTAATCCCAAGGACCAAGCCTCTTGAAATTGATGGGCAGCAAGAAATGGCAACTCATCAAACCACCAAGTTGGGAACAAAACTGTTTGGACTCCATAGTCTTTCACAAGTTTCATTGCGTCTTCAAATATGATGTCAAAACAAATGAACATGCCCATTACACCAAAATCTGTGTTGAAAATGGCATACTCAGGTGTTGAAGGAATGTTATAGGTAGTCTCAAAGAAAAGATGCATCTTGTGGTAACGAGCTAGAAGTGTTCCATCTCTACCAAAAGCCACATTAGTGTTGTAATGATACTCTCCATCAGATGGACAGTGAGGATCCTGGGATATCTGACACGGTTGAAGGTCACCCATGTTGGCAACAAGAACTATTCCATTAACTTTAGCTATACAGCTCAATTTTGTGAGGATCGGTCGATCCCTGAACTTTTCTTTTTGGACACATGGATTCCAGTTTTCTTTATATGGATTCGGGATATGCTCTAAAATCTTTCGATTCTCATGTCGTGTTGATTTTCCTTTACACAGACCATATTCTGGGAACACAATAATGTCAGCGCCCTGTGAAATATATATAAAAAACACATTATTACATAGTAAAACAATTATTTAAATATATTTATATACATAAAAGTTACTGAATTTGTGAACTTATAACAATTTATGTGGGACATAAAAAAACGGACGATGACTACCCAAGTGAAATATTTATTAAAATGCATTTTTCATAATTTATTAATAGTGTTTTAATAAACGTTAATGAAGGCTTCGTAGTTTGATAACATTACACATTACTTATATTAATAAAATATACCATTACTTGAACCCTGAGCTTTACAAAAGTAATGACATTTACTGTTTCATACTGTAGATCAAAATTAAAACCAACGAGTTTTTATGTAAGATTATCAGTTGCATTATTATATGTTTTCAGTTAATCCATAATGAACACTTATTCATAAGTAAATGACCGGCAAATATTTTACATCTTCGTCTTCGCAACAATATCTATAGTTTTAATACTATTAATAAACTATTATAACAACAAATTTGTTATTTTTGTTTAATTGAACATTCAACGTTTCGCTTTACAGCTTCTTTAGAAGCGTTCAGCTAAAACACAATATCCTGCTCAATACAGGCGAACCGAGCATATTTTATAATCTTAATTAATATGACTCTATTATTTTATGTCATGAAATAATAACATGTATTAAAATTGATATTTAACGAATGTTTATTCAAGAGTAGCTTTGTAAAGACAACCGTTAATTTAATGATCCTGGTACTTTGTAATAAAGAACCAAACAAAAGTGGTATTTTTTTTTATTTATTTTTTTTTGTAAATAAACTGTAAATTAGAACTTTGGAAGACATCACTATAAGTAACAAGCGAAATTTCTTAAAACTGCTTTAGATTAAATATAATGTTTTCAGAGTTCCTGATATATTTTAAACTGAGCATAATGTTTTCTGAGTTCTTAACATAGTTTAGATTGATCATAATATTTTCTGAGCTTTTAGTATATTAGAGATTGACCAGTTAGTTGCTTAAACCCACAGCCGTGTATGATAAATATATGTATGTTTTATATTAACACCGGCAAGAGACTTAAACTCTCGATGCCACAGACTTGTTAATTCCTGACAAACACTGGTCAACTCTAAATAAACACAGATGTTCTTGACCGACACCAACTAGTAACCTGACCCTCATATGATATAAATATGTGATTAACATCCGTTAATGGCCTGAATGTTACAGATGTGCTATTCATAGTTAATAAAGCAGGCCTCGAACTTAAATTCTGTTGACATTTCAATTCTTGATCAAAACCAGCTAGCAGGCTAAATCATAAATACTAGGCCTATAGTAAGTAAGTTCTTGATTTGCACTATGTAATGGGCCTGAACAATAAATGTGTGGTATTTTCAGATACACTTATTTATTTCTACAATAATAGAATAGGCTTAAAATCATAAATAATGTTCAACGTTAAACTGATACACAGTTAAAAACATTTTATTTAGGCCTTCAAAAAGTTGACGACTCTACATGTTTCGACGTTACATAGATAGGCCTAAATAAAATGTTTTTAACTGTGTATCAGTTTAACGTTGAACATTATTTATGATTTTAAGCCTATTCTA